GACTTGTGCCCGGGTGTCTCTGCGGCTGGTGAGTTTGGCCCAAAAATCGCTGAATAGGCGGTCTAGCCGCTCCGACAGTGGAGGCAAGCTGGGCTTGGATGCTGGGAGCCACATGGTTTCTGCCATGCCATGTGTCAGCGGTCTGGCGGTGCAAGGTGGCTGAGCTCGGTTTCTCCATCCTGATCCACATGCTCTGGTTGCCTGGATATCCCTCACTGGCAGGGGGGGGGGGGAGAGAGTGTTCTGCAGAGACCTCCTTTGTTATAGGCTGCAGTCGGCTGAGGGATCGGCTGTCTCCCCCATGCTTCCTGAGTAGGCCGCAGGTAGGCCTCAGGTCCATCCCCTGGAATCAGTCGCATTTTGCGGTCCCAGGCTCGGTTATGCATTGTCTCGATATTAAGCCCCAGTGTCTGGAGTGTAAAAAGCATTGAATTTGCAGGTTTTTGCTCGTTTTTCAGGTTATTTAGACAGGAGCTTTGCTGAGGTGCGACCACTCAGCTTGGCTGTCAGGCTCCGCCCCCGTCCCTGCAGTTTTAACCCTGCAAGTGAAAGCATTACCATTGCATACCTACAAATATATGAAAACGACAAAGAGGGACACTTTAAAGGGACACTATGGGCACCAAAACAACTTTAGCTTAATTATGTAGTTTTGGTGTACTGATCATGCCCCTACTGTCTCACTGCTCAATTATCTGGATACTATAGTGCCAGGAATACAAAGCTGTATTCCTGGCACTATTGCTATATATATATCTATATACACACCTATATATAAATAAAAATAACTTTAAAAAAAAAGATTTATATATATAAATCATTTTTTTTTTTAGTTATTTTTATTTATATATAGGTGTGTATATAGATAGAGATATATATATATATATATATATATATATATATATAATTCTACGTATATATTTATGTAATATTTTTACATAATTAGGTAATTTTATTAATTAAAATTTGCGGAACCTAGATTGTCTCCAAACACTAGTCGAATTATTGGACCTGGGTGTTGGATCTATACGTAGTAAGATTCCACGCTTTAATTTAAAATCTAAAAGTAGATTCACTCCACACTTCAAGGACTATAAGAATCTGGAGGTGTTCCTGGATATAGGTGTTCTCTGTGTAGAGAAATTGAGTCCTTAACAATTGACGAATCTCAACTAAATGTTGAGAAGAACCTCAGTGGACAGGAAAGGCAGGCAATTAAACAACTTAAAAAAAACCCTAACATAATTATCAAGGCCTCAGATAAAGGAGGTAATGGACAAGGAACGTTACATCAGTATGGCAGAGCACCTTTTGCTGGATAAGGCTACATACCGTATCCTCACAGCTGACCCAACCCCCCAATTTATGGACGAATTACAAACCCTACTGACTAAGGCTTTGAATTCAGATCTTATCTCCAGAGATGAGTTTGATTTTATGAACACTAAAGAACCCATTCTGTCCACCTTTTATTGCTTACCTAAGATACATAAGTCCCTGACGGAACCAACAGGCATGCCGATTGTATCTGGCTATGGCACTCTTACTCAAAATGTAAGCATATTCGTGGACAGGATCCTGCTACCTTTGTTACAAAGGCTTCCCTCTTATTTAAGGGATACTAAGCAGTTACTCAGATTTCTAACTCATCTAGAGCTCCCAGCAATGCTATTCTTTGCAGCCTAGATGTTGAGACACTCTATAGTTCAATTCCACACAATTTGGGGATTGAACACATTCAGGCCTTCCTCCACCTTAACCCTAAATTACCAGAGGCATATGTGGACCTTATATCTGAACTACTCAGATTAACACGCAACATCTTCCTATTTAATGGTAAATTATACCAACAAGTAATTGGCAATGCAATGGGTACGCCCTGTGCACCATCTTATGCAAACCTACACATAGGCTGGTGGGAAAAGTATATTATGGCTGACACTACCCTTAAATCATACACGGACCAAGTCCTTGATTGGAAAAGGTATATAGACAACATTTTTATTGTCTGGCTTGGTACCGTATGTGATTTCGAGGAATTTGTTAAGAGACTTAACATCAAGCCCTTCAATCTATGCTTCACCAGTGAGATAGGTGGATCGAAACTTTCCTTCCTTGATATTTCCATATTTTTAGGGAGTGACCGTAAAATACAGACCACTCTTTTTAGGAAAAAGATGACAAAAAACAGCCTTCTCAAATGGTCAAGTTACCATCCTACTCTACTAAAGGCCGGGATCCCTACCGGCCAATATTTGAGGTAACTGCTCCTCCTTGGATGACTTTAAGGACAAAGCAAGAGCCCTACGGCATTCCTTTAGGGAAAAGGGATACCCAAATAGGGTTCTAAAAAGGGCGTATGCTAGAGCTCTTGAAACAGATCGCCAGTCCCTAATTGAAGAGAGTACCAAAAAATCATAAGGTGGCATAATACAGTGTATTGGCACCTTCGATACAGGCTGGGAACCCATGCAGAGTATCTTCAGGAGGTTTTGGCCTATCTTAACATCGGATAGACATCTTAAAGAAGTTGTAACTCCCTATCCATCAATTACGGCAAGTGGAGGGAGGAATCTGAGAGACCTTTTGGCACCCAGTCACCTTCCCACTACTGTCAATCAAGGCCACTTCCAGAACTACTTACCAGCAGGCACCTTCCAATTGGGCCATTGCAGTGCATGTCCCTTCATTAATAGACACCTTAAAAGCTACTCTGACAGAAACGTTTTATTCACTTTCATTTTTCAATTGCCGCACGGTTGGAGTAATCTATTTGCTCACATGCTCCTGTGGTTTGATGTATGTGGGGAATACATTCCGTCACTTTAAATACAGAATCAGGGAACATGTGAACTTGGTAAAAAGACGTTTACAAACTCCAATCTCTAGGCATTTACATTTGCATCATGACCATTCATCTGCTGGTATTCGTTTTATGGGCTTCGAACACATACCACAACCACCGTGCAAAGGTGGGTAGGATATCAAACTTCGTCAGAAGGAGACCTTCTGGATATATAAACAAAAAAACTTTATCACTACAAGGGCTAAATGAAGGGTTCTCATATTCGTCCTTCATATAAGGGTTGGATTTTTTTGTTTGTTTTTTTTTTCTTAATATGACTGAGTGGAATTTCCAGTAGTTTATACAGCGTATAATTGGCCAAGTTTTTAATTACCTTTTTTGATTATAGTTTCTTTTTGGGTGTTTTTTGTCACTTGCTCTCTCTCACTTCATAGATACCCATACAACTAATATGGATCACATTACCTATACTAGCCTCCAGTGATTCTCATGTTCGTGATGATACCTTTCGCTAGAGAACTTTAAAAGGTGTATCACGATGTTGCTGCGCCTTAAATGTCAATATAGTCATTATATCTAGAATTAAAATTGTGAAGGATGACTTGGCAGGATCTGATGAGCAGCTATATTGGGATATCTATTTATGTATGATTATATTGTCACTACTTATATTCACCTTCTCAATATGACAAACATAAAATTGTGAATGGCATCCCCAATTGAGCGGGTAAGGTGTTAAATACACCATTCTAGATGCAACATGTAACTGAGTATCTCTAGCTTGTAAGTTGTTGACTTTTTTCCTTAATTGCTGAGCTGTCATTTACAATTAAGCATTTAGTTAGGGCAGTGAGTATTTGACTGACACATGGTAACATGAGCACCACATATGATTGGCTCATTGGTGCTATTCCCCTAACCAATTAAGGCCATATCCACGTGGGAGTCTCCCTGTATATTGAACTTTTCACATTGGATGAGACACCCCTCTAAACGGCTGTCCTAAGTAGGGTTAATGAACCCTTGGGTATTTAAGCAAATCCTGTGAGGAGAGAGCTCACTCTGCACCTGACTACGGCGTTATAATACGCTGAAATGCGCGTCGTGCTCGATTTATTTTAATATGCACTTTTGCACTTGTTAGGTAGCACCTTTTTTATTTTGTGTTGGAGTTACATATATATATATATATATATATATATATATATATATATATATATGGTCTTTGGTTCAGGTAGGCACTAGCTTTGTACGGTGCTGAGGTATTAGGGACAGATGCTAGTTTACTGGATGTGGGGTATGGTGGTCAGGGCCGGACTGGCCCACCGGGATACCGGGAAATTTCCCGGTGGGCCGCGGCACCTGGG